TGTTTTTTTTTTTTTTTAATTATTTGACTTCTCTAAACATTTCTCTGTCCTCCAAAGCTCCTTGACTGTGCTGAAGGAAAGTGGTGCTGCAATCATATTATTTTGCCAAATGCCAATTTAGCACAGCGGATGCTTGAAAAATTCCTGTTTATTAGCAAGCGCGCAATACTGTTTTTGTTCAGTGCGTGTGTCTCCAAATGTTCATTGACTTCCTCACTGAAACATGTGACTTTTCCAGAGACGAGAACTGATGAAAAGATGTCCGTAACACTGACAGCCTCAGCTGCGATATGATTAAGCAAGCAGTTACGGGGGGCTGCTTTACACATATTGAGTGTTATTTTAAATCCAACAAAGATGGACACATACACACAAAGAGATGAGAGAAAGAGATGATTCAGTCTAGTGATCACTGGGCCATTGTCTGTGCCACAGTGGGGAATATTAGTCCACAGTCAGGCCTAACAGCTGACCAAATCTATCTCTGTCTGGAGCTCTCCGCTTCTCCCTCTGTTTGTTTTTTGCTTTGGGACTGTGTGTATGGCGATGATTATGGCAGATACGATGTTACATAGAAATATCAGTTGTTATTTTGGTCTATTAATAGGGTTTAAATCACCAACAGGATAACAGAAAAATCATTACCTAAAAAACACCGTATAGAGCAAATCTGTCACACAGTGCAATAAACCACCACACCACAGGAGTGCACAGGCCTTGAAAACTATTTATGATGCAGATTTTTATAATGATCCAGGGTTCATCAGGTCAAGAATTATATAAAGAAAATATCGATTCCTTTTATTCAATTCATAATAAGTGAATGAAGCCATTTTATCAGTCAGTTATGGCTATTAATGACCCAGTGAGACATACAAATCATAGACGTCTACATGTGCCTTTGTAGCGTAAATAGATAAATAAACAATAAATAAATAAAATGTATATTATAATCTGGTGTTTTTTTTTTTAAAGTAAGTATTTATGTGGACTAAGATAATTAGTCGTGATACGATTCCAAGAAAGTTTCCCTGCAGGTACGGCTGCCTTAAACAAGTCAAATTAATGTAGCTCACTGGTGGATTGTATGTGTTTTAAGTGGAAGAGGAAAAAAAAAAGCAAAAACATAAACCGCAGCCAAGGCCACAAGCTGCACATTATTTATACTCATTTACAGTCGTTTGTTTTGCACGGAAGCATAGATTATTGGAGTGTTTATGCACGGTGATTAGACTAAAGATAGTGGCTCAGCTTTCAACCATCGTTCAGTCATCCTCTGTAGTGCATCTTGGACGACTCGGATTGTATTCACTTCTGAAACACTGCGGAGAGAACTCACCTTCACATCCTGATTTTAAATGTTATGCTAAACACCGATGGAAATTCACTCCCACACTAAACCAAACCGAGTGAATAAATGAACACAGTTTTTTTTTCTCTTTTTTTTTTGGGTGTACAGCCTTAAACTTCTGTTATCCAAGGACTGCTGATGTTCAACTTTTAAAACTGCACAGGTTGCAGTGTTTTAGTGAGTAGGAGTTCAAACAGCACAAAAGCATAAAGAAAGCTGGTATTTTGGATGAGATAATGACCGCGCAGCATGCCTCGGATCCACAGGCTCAGATTTATTAGCAGGGATCTCCACTGGGTCGTGTCGATTCGGTATTGAATTCGGTGTACATGTGAGGAAGAGGTAATATGAGGTTGAAACTTGATATTTACAGTATGAAACGAACGTATCGGCTGTATCAAAGTCTGTTCTCACTGAGCCGAAAACCTGCCTTCAACTTCCACAGACCCCCCTGGAGACCAAACACTACCAAACAGTGGGTGATGAACATGGTGAAATAGAACACTTCTGGGTGACATGGAAACAGCTCTGGAGTCTTTCTGAGTCCTTCCCGGAAGCTGTAAGCCTTTCTTTTCTCTTTGCCCCCCTGGAGGCGTTTTAAAATGATCGATTTTTACATTATTTTAATCCAATGGACTGACGTGTTATTGGAAAGAGGAGTGATGGATCTGGATGTGCAAGACTGGGCATTGATCACCGGGAGAATGGAGGTCGGGTCGTTTCCCCGAGGATCTCCCTGACACGCACAGGCGCGGGCACGAGTTGATTCGACTCGCGGCTGCTTTGCTGAGAAGTTCATTTCCTATGAGAGAATCCATTACCGTCGCATCTCTCTGTATCAGATGCATTGTCCTGCTTGTGTGCGTAAAACAACCGGTTTTTTGTGCGATATTCCTCGTGATGGCCCTCCTCTCACCAGAGCATGTGAGGTGCAAAGAAAAAATGATTTCCTTATAATGATAAAAAAAAAAAAGTCTGATCCATCTCAAAGGGGAGGCGGTGTGAGGCTGCGCACAGTTTGCAGCAACTCACGGATTAAGTGATGCCCGTGAGATATCGGTCGGAAACACACGCAAGAGTGAGCGAGGAAGCGAAAGGAGGTAAGCGCGCACTCGAGCTGTAAGAGGCATTTTTTTTTTCCTGGAACGCGCACAGACAGACAGCGCTGCTGGTGAGACAGCAGACAGAGGAGGACAGGACTGAAGAAGGACGCACTACAAAAACGCATAGAGACAAAGTTCTCCTGCGTCGAGTTGAAGTATGGTGCCAACAAATATATGCGCTCCAATCCATTGAAAGTTTTGGATCATAACGGGAAAGCGGAGAAATATCCCTCAAGGAACGGGTGCACACATGGATCTCGGCGAGGCACGGGCGCTTTAGTGCAGTGGAGCCAAAGAGATATCCAGTCATGATTTGGGTTGCGTTTTTGCCCTTTTTGATTTCATGCGCGGTAGGGAACCGGACGACGGAGCAGGTGCCGTTCTTTCACGGCCATGTCTTTGAGAACTCGTCTCCAGGCTCCCGGGTCAACGGACTGAGCGTCCCGTTAAAACGGCTCAACTCGCAAAGGCTATGCGGTGCTGGAGAATCCGGTTCAGCGGCAGCGCACTTCAAACTCCTGGGAGAAGGGAGCGAGAATTTCCGCGTCTTTGCGCACCACAAACGGGGACATATTTTATTGAAGACTTCTGGGGTTTTGGACAGAGAGGAGCGGGCTGAATACGCACTGGGTCTGGGTTTGTGTTGCAGGCAATGCGCGGGACTTTCCGGGGAAGATGAAGACCAGTGTCCACTTGTCACCGAAGTGGCGTCTATTAAAGTGGATGTTTTGGACACCAACGACCACCAGCCCACTTTCCCCGGTGCCGATGTGAAACTGAGTCTGGATGATGCTACTGCGCTCCGCACGGCGATTTACACGGTGACCGCGCGGGACGATGACAGCGGCAAGAACGCCGAGCTCATCTACTTTGCCCTGCCCAAAAACGGGAGTTTCTACGCGGTGCCAAAAACCGGTGACATCCTCCTTGTTGACTCCATCTTGGGTCTGGATGGACCGATCAAATTTAAAGTGTTTGCCCGGGACCGCGGGTGGCCACCTCGCACGAGCCAGTGCATCGCAGTGGAGATAAATCCACGGCAATGGCCCGTGGCGCAAACGCTGACTCCCCAACTGGGTAAAAGGACACCGAAATCGCCAAATAAAGTACCAGCGCGAAAGTCCAGATCAGTCATGGAATCAGACAGTCCCGTTTTGATCAATGTGTCCGAGGATGCAGGCATCGGTTCGGTGGTGATGAACCTGAACCCGGTGAGGTTTCAGACGGCCACGTTTGAACTGGTGGAGCCCGAAGTGGAGAGCTCTCCGGTCAGCGTGAGCCGGGACAGCGGGGATATAGTCATATCACGGAGACTGGACCGAGAGACTGAGCCTCTGGTGGAGATCACTGTCAAAGTACAGGATAAACGAGGTGAGCAAAAGATGGAGCACACGTGTGAGAGAGCGGCACTGTGTGTGTGTGTGTGTGTGAGAGAGAGAGAGCGAGAGCGAGAGAGAGAGAGAGTGTGTGAAAAAGAATGACTGGGGCAGAGAGTGAGTCACAGTGATCGAATAAGACGGTTTGTGTGCGCTTTCATGTGTGCGCTTCCTGCAATGGCAAGTGGTATAAAAAACACAAGTCGTACTACATCATACTAGTAACACATTAGCTTTTCTATAATAGACTAATTTGTCTCTTTGTGACAGCTGAATTTCACATTCTGGATTAATTGCGTGCGTAAATACGCACGGAGAGGGAGCAGAACCTGTACGCATTTTGATTCACTGCAGTTCTTATGACATTGTCCCAAAGAAACTGTACTCAAACATTCTACATTATAAGACATATCTTGAAGCCAATATCGAATATATCTTTGTTTTTTGATCAGTGGATGTACACTGTTTGGTGTAACGTCGTTGCAAAGTGCTTTTTCTCTCGAAAAAAAAAAATCCCTCTAAGTTCCCTGCACCTGAGCTTTGAATTCTCTGTACAGGATCCATTATATGCTTACCAGTGTAATTAGGACTTGGCAGGAAAACACAAATACGTTGTGACTGATGTGCTGAATTATACTTTATTCATTCCTTTGGAGGAATTGTGTTTGAAAATAACTGGTAACTGGCTCAGTGGGCAGGCACTGTGTGTCTGAGGTCGTCGTTTTAGTGGAAGTTAGGGGAAGGTCATGGTTCTTTGAGGTGTCAGGAGACCCACACTAATCCGTGAAAACTCCACTCATAAACCCCTCTATGTACCCTTGTCAGCTAGGGCTCTATACCTTGACCCTCCTGTTGTGCTAAGCGCTAACCACTGGCTCCTTGCACCATCAGTTTTCAGAAACACTATTCCCGGGTGGCTTCCCATCCATCCACTAACCAGGGCGAATACTGCTTAGTCTTTGAAATCAGAAAAGTTCAAGTTTTCCCAGGGGGAGTCTGGCTGTAAGCAGTGTCAGAGTGTCCTGTGTTTACAGTGGAGGTTAAACTGAGTGACATTCATCAGTGCTGATGATGATTCATGTGCTTGGATAAATTAGTGCAGCGTGAATGTGTCTGCTGCCGCTGCCAGCAGCAACAGATGCTGGGATGTCAGGGGAGAGGCGAGGTGCGTCACGGCCATCATACCAACAGGTTAATTATCACCTGCGGATAAAACAAAACGACAGAGAGAAAGTTAACATACAGCCACATTCAAATTAATAAATGCATTTGTGAAGGGATGAAACAGTGGGCTAATTGACTGCGGCACTGAGCACTGAAGGCAGGAACATAGAGGGCAAAAACATGATGTATTATGTAGAGGAAAAGTCTAATATTGAGCGTGCACTTGATTCTATCTCAGTTTATTTATGTATCTGTCTGTCTGTGTGTACAAGTTTACTGGAAAGACACTTGTTCCATTAAGACCAGTTAACAGCATTTGACTGAAGGAGTGACCCAATCAATGTGACCTATTGGTCTTGGTAATGTGAGCTATCCTGATGCAGAAAATAAGCTGAGCCTGCTCCTGGCACAGTGTGCTTCCTTACACTCCCGGTAGCCTCGTGCAATGTTGGCTATTTGTCTCAACAATTTCCTTTTAAGCACATTAATATTGATGGAAAAAAAACTATTATTTCCAGTGTTAAATGTGACATTTCATCTTTCTGTTTCAGTAATACATCATCTGCTGTGAGAGCTGTATCAAATGATGTAGCTTATGTTGTTTAATTATAAAGAGACACTCAGTTTTCACCCGGTGTGTGTTGTCATAGGCAGGCGTCCAATACTGGGAGGAATTAAAACATGTAGAACACATTTTACCAGCTGATAAAAAAGTTAGATGATGTCTTTTTTTGTTTTTAATTGTCCATGCACTCTGTCAAACTTATTCCATAATTTCTGTCAGACTATGTTTTATTCTTCTTTTTTTTTTTTTTGGGTCAAATTACTAGAAATCAAACACACAGGAGACAGATTGAATAATAGCCTGACAGTCTTTTCAAGAATTAATTGTCAGGATATTGGTGGTAGAGGAATAGATACGGAAAAACTGTGTGTCATTTTCATTTTCAAAAAAATGAAATACTATGTGTGAAGCAGCATCATCTACATTTTTAGGAAATGAATGTTTAGGGAGAGCATTTTGGATTGAGTCAGATCCAGTGAGGATGAGCGGAACATTAAGTGTGAACAGACTTAGTGTATTTAAAGATTAGAGACACAGCGCATATTGTTGCTATGTGTCCAAATCCCTCTCTGACCAGTGCTTGTTTGGGTGATTGAATCTTGCATGTACCTCTGGTGTGTCTGTTTTTGACTTCGGTTGTGTTTTGCTCTGTCAGGCTGCATGTTATTACAAAGTTTCCAGGGAAGGATCAGCGTAAATGTTTCCTAAATGGATGGGTTTAAAAAAAAAAAAGCCTAAAAGCCCAACCTTTTATGAGTTTGATTGGAGATGAAGAAGGGGGGAGGAGGGGCGGTGGGTTGAAACAGACCTACATTTTCGTGACCTAACTGTTTACCGCTTCACACTGAAAGATGGCAAGTTTTCATTTCCGGGCTTAACGGCGGGCAGCGGGGGGCGAGTCCGATTCAGCTCGGTGTCTCAAGCGTGAGGAACACGGCATCCATTCGGTTGTTGGTGGCTCGGGTGAAGTCTTTTAATCCGTTTGGAGTGGAGAGTCCTGCCGGAGCCTCGACCTCCCTCCATCTGCTCGCATTATCCCTGTAATCCCATCTCATTCTCTCTGTCTGTCTTTCTGTTGCACTTTCTATCCCTCTCTCTCTTGCTCTCTTACTTTCTCGTTCTTATTTCCACTCTCAGTCCGGGGATTTATTTTGAGTGGAGGCACAGTTTAAGACTGTGTGAGAGAGAAAGCTTCTGACATGATTCTTCGAGGGACAGATGTGTGTGTGTGTGTGTGTGTGTGTGTGAGAGGCTGAGAGTGTTATGTGTCAGGATCTAAGATAACTTCCTCTTGTCTGCGGCGTTTGTGGTCCAATCCACAAGTGCTGCTGAGCTTCAGCAGCGTTGGAGTCACTTGTGTGTGTGTGTGTCTGGTTGTGTCACTCACATTGAGTGAAAGCAAACAAATCAATTCACACAGCTGCATTGTGTTTTGTTTTGTGTGGAAGTTGATATGGTATAGGGTTAGAGTAAATGATATAAAGATATTTGAATAAAAGTCATTGCCATGTCCTCCTACATGACAAAAGCAGGCTTCACAAAGGGTTATTCTTTTCCATTGTTTTTACCAGGGTTTCTTTAAATGCCTAATTCCTCTTACGTTCTGCTTTTTTATTTTATTTTCCTATCATAAGGCAGCGTATTTGTGCACACCGGGTTTAGGTTTGATATCCCAAGATTTCACAAGTCGTTTAATGCTGTGCCAACCCCTGTAAGAGCACCAAGTGAGAGCCCCATTAATTTTCCACAAAGGTTCTTCCTCCTCCTCTAAAACAGCCAATATGAGACGGTCCTTTGACTGCAGTGACTCCTGTTGGCACAATGATTAATGAAATGATTAATTTGGTTAATTAGTTAAATGATTAATTTGGTTAGCTACACAGAAGTCCTTTTTCAGAGCTTCCCCTTTGCAAAACGAGACCTTTTTTTTTCTCCCCCCTGCCACTGCTTTGCCCTTGTCATATCTTATTCTCGCCTCCTGTCTCAGTTAAAGCCTAACTACCTTTCATACATAAACTGTCCGGCTAACTCTGCATCACATTGACAGGAGGTTATTATATAGACCTTTTAGCTAAAGATTACAATGGTCTTCTGTGGTGAGTGTTCTCTGCTCTGGCAATGAATATGGCAGCACTGAAGACAGGACACCTATATTATGTTGAACAAAGGAATTTATTAGACCGCATTTTTAGCCTAATCCACCTTTGTGTCTACATTTTTATATTCTATTCCATTTAAAATAAACAAGTCCAGGAGGGCAGCAGCGTGGACTCTCTCAGCATGTGGAATGTTCAATCCAGTATTTGTCTGTCTTGAGTTTTAGCTCCAGTTTGGACCACTTCAGCGCCTTTCTTTCATGTTTAAGTAAAGCAGCAAATTTCTGTTTTTGATGTTTTTGTTTAGTGTTTTTGGTGCTGATTGAAAACTGACACAGCATCAGAAGTAGGAACCAAATGTATAATAAAATCTGTGATTCACTTTACCTGTAAACTTCCCGGTATGAAGAAATAAAAGGAAAAAGAAGCAGCGTCATTTACGATTAACGATTTAGGGAATTTAAGGAAAATAAATAATGAAAAAACAAAGCACTAATTCAAAACATCCTATCACTTAATTCATTATAAAAATTGTTTTTGCGTCCCTAATTCTGCTGGGAGACAGGTTATGTTTTTAAAAGTGACATTTGGTGTTGACTGCGCTAATTCTAAGAGCAACACAATGTGTTTTAAATAAATAACTTAATAACCTGCACAAAATAAAGCAAAAGAACATTTGAGCAAATAATAAATGGATTATGGGCATGTCAGGAAATCTTAACAACATAAAAATGGTCGACAAAGATTTCTTATTTTATTGAAAAAAGTATTGGAGAAAAGATGAATACCAGAAAACTGACCAGTAAAATCCAGTTCTGTTCATGATAAACATCATTTTTAGGAAGTGGCTCAGTTTTTCTCAGAAGTGTCATGCGGTGAATTTTGATTGCAGCTGTTTGTGTTTGTGTGTGTGTGTGTGTGTGTGTGTGTGTGTGTGTTTGCGTGCGTGCAGATTGTCAATGCATGCATGGGATTTTGGTTAATGAAGAGAAACAGCTGGCTTTAATCAAGAAATCTGTCGGTTGATCTCCCACAGATTTCTGACACTCACAACTAAACCACACACACACACGCAAACACACACACGCAGACAAATATGAACAAAAATGTACTGAAGCAACAAACAAAATTAGCCGTGTTTTTGGGCTCCTCAGTCACAAAAGTGCACCT